TTTGTTTTTCTGGCATGCCAGCACTCTGGCACCTTCCAATGTAGGCACTGTGGTGTTTTTCAGCAATTTGGCCAAAAAACGTTGCCTACCCCAATTTAGAATATAGCCCAATGTATTCCCGGTCTTGAACTGGATTTTTAACTATTTTTATCTGCTTGTTGTCTGTATTTTAAATTATTCTTCCCTGTAATGTTTTGTATTGATAGTGGGGTTAATAATGTAAAGCAGAGACACGTAATTCAGTCTGTCTTCCTTTCCACACCCTGAACAACGCATTCCAATCCTCTCCCTGATCTAAGCTTTCCCCCACTGTCCTCCTCACTTCTGGAAGATGTAATCACTTGGCTTCCTCAGGGTTGCTTTCCCCTTTTGGTTTTTAACCAGATGCAGTAGCACCATTCCTTCGCCACACAGCATTTTGCCAGTTGATCATGTCTTGCCCCTGCCCAGGCTTGCATGCCCACTATTTTGCACCAATTAAATTGAATTAAAAAACAAATCTAATTAAATTTGTGTAGTATCTTGCTATGGAAGCTATAAGAATATGAAAGTGTTTTAGCAAAGCACTTATTCCTGTAAATTTACAGGCACATAGTTAAACCAATACAAAGCTGGTTTAAACCACTTTACAAAGCTGCAGTATCTTAATTGATTCAGTAGTAAATCATGATTTGGTGAAGCCACAATATCTGTGTATTAAGCATTGTGTCCTGAACTTTTTCTGAAGGAAAATCATTGACCTCCCAAAGGGTATCTTGCAAAGCTAAAACACACAATTAAACAGTTTGCAGGTGTTGCCCAGTGGGAAATAGCCAACTATAAAGACAAACAAATTACTGAGTAAACAGAAATGCTCATAATATTTCCCCTGTTAACTTAAAAGTTATGCATAGGAAATGTTAAAAAGTATGATGGTTTAGAAGTACCATAGTTCCTTGCATACAACACACCTTTTTGGAGTGTACATTATATAAAAGAAACATGGTAAGAGCAGTATCTACCGCTTACTGAGTGAAACTAAAAGTGAAATCTAAATTGATCCACAGGAAGTAAAACAATGAACATACTTGGTTCCCCAACCACTGCTGTTCAGCCACTTTGTTACAAGCAAAGGTTTTTTTCCCTTAATTTTGCCTTTCAAATACAAGGTGCGTGTTAAATTTTGGGGTGTGTTGTATGGAAGGCAACATGGTATCTTTGCTATCATTACTCTGAATGAAAGTCATCAATTACCCAACTAACTTTCTCTCCATGTCTATGTTAACTAGCCTGAAACGCCTCATGATGACACAGGCTGATAAGTTCACGGCTGAAGAGGTTTGTATGCTCATGCATGTACCCCCATGTATGTTAGTGTGTAACAACAATTATTTTGTAGGAAATTAGCAAAACTATTGTTATACAGGTTTAAAGTACACTTCTTTTGGAGACAGAAAAAAATGTTCTGAAATCATTAATCAATTTTACAGGGCGAAAATCTGACATAACCTTGGGATTTAGGGAACTTTTAACTGGTTTACTTAATACTTATATGAATTGCCACTCACTCATTTTTCAAAACATTCACACTACAGCAGGGGTGGACAGTTATTTTGGGTGGAGGGCCGCTTAACAAGTTTTGGTGCACTGTTGAGGGCTGCATGGGTAGGCCTGCCCCTTGACAGTTGCTGCGCCCCCTGGTCATCATGCAGAGCCCCTAAATTTTTTAGGAGCCCCAAAGGCCAGATAGAATGGCCTGGCAGGCTGACTGCAGCCCACGGGGCTGTATTTTGCCCACCCCTACACTACAAAGACCTAACGCTTACTAGCCTACTAAGCCTGTTAAATGGCCCCTATTAACTTTTTAGAGTAATTTAGATGCAAGAATGATAATGTGCCTGCAGATTTTTAATTCTCATGATGGATTTTAATTTGGAAGCACTAAAGCATAGCTTTGGAGAAAAAAACTTCATTACTATGCTTTTCTCTCACTGATATGTAGATTGACCAGATGTTCCAATCTTCCCCTATTGATGCTGCGGGCAACTTGGATTACAAGTCTTTCTGCTACACCATCACACATGGAGATGAAAAGGAAGAATGAAAAGCATGCATTTTATTAGCTTCAGTAAAGTCTTGCAATAAGTCAATAAATAAAATTTGGAGTCTGAATGGTCTTTTCTCACTGCCAAAAAATCATGGCCTATTGGAACAGCATTTTATCTTGTGAGCTTTTCCATTGAATAGTTTCGTGGTTTACTTGTACTGGATGAAAGCTGCAGAACTTAATTTAAAATAAACTTGTGTGTGCATGTACACATACACAATGTATTTACTATACACACACACGCGCCAGGGCTGTCCAAGTTCTAAGCAGCTGGGCACCAAACATACTTCAGGCTGCATCTGTAGGAACTGCATGCGTGTAGGACGCATCTGGATGAACCGCAACCTGCATGCCATGTGGACGGCCCCATCCCCCACACTGCTGCACTGTGCCATCGTACACTGTACCATGCACCTGTATCCTCCCTGCAACCACTGCACCATGCTCTTGTGCCTTTCCCACCACTGCACTGCACACCCACGCTCCGCTTTGTAGGTCTTCCTCATTCCCCTCATGGCTTCACTGCACACCCATGCTGCTCCACCACTGTACCGTGCACCCATGCCCAGCCCACCTGCTCCCACCACTGCACCATACAATCAAGAGGAAGAGAGTTCCAGGGCTAAAGAGTAACTGTCAAACATGACCTCCCATGCATTTCTCCCAGGTCATGTCGTGTGTATGGTACTTGTAGGAGGTTGCTCTTGACTAACCCTAGGGATCACAATGGGGCAATAAGAGAGAAGGCAGTCCTTTAGGTATACAGAGCCCAGACCACTTTAGGTCTTATAAGACAAAACCCAGAAAACAATTGGGAGCTAGTGTAGACCCTGGAGAACCGGAGTTATACATTCCTAGTGACTTACATGTGTTTGCGTTTTGTACCAGCTGCAGCTTCTGGACAGTCTTCAAGGGTAGCCCCACATAAAACCCATTGCAGCCGTCTAGCCTCAATATTCAACATCAGAGGCAAGTTATCTTAGCTGTAGGAGTCATTGTCATTAGCTGCAAATTTTGACTTCACAGACCCAACTGTAAGCATTTTAACTTCCTGAGATCCAAGAAATAACTTTGTATGGGAATTAAAGTATTGGTGATATGGAAAACTACAGACCTTCCTGATTGTGTGTAGAATACACTGTAAAAGGCAAGAGTTTAAACTGCTTGTGAAACAGGCACTCCAGAATAGCTGTTCATCCTAAAACAGTTTATTACCCTTTTTTAAATAAATTCCTATGAAACACCAACTCCCTTCTTAAAAGACCTTTTAGGTCAAGCTTGTCCCCGAATTTAAGTTCTGGAAATGATGATGAGCCATACTCATTTGAACTGAGTACTACAAACGGAGTTATAATTTATGCAGAAAAATAACCTCCTGAAAGGGCTCTCTCAAATCTTTGCTTGCAATATAATTGGGATTTAAAACAAATTTATGCACTCAGCAGAATCATCTACAGCATGTTGGGTCACTTTACTTTCAGAACAAAATCGTTCTTGGATTTGCTGCATTAGAATACTGTTTTTTTAGGTTATACATTAAACAACTGTGTCTTTAAAATAATAAAATATAGCCTCACAAGAAAAAAAAAATCAGGGAATCTTTAACCTTGGCTAATTCAAAGTAATTTGCAAACTCTCAGTGGCATTGGCATTTATGAGCATAGCTATTGTATGGATCAGACCGGGGTGGATCCAGGGTAGTGCATTTGTACTCCCTGCACCTTGATTCCTGGTCCATCCAATATTTAAAACCAACTGCCTAGCAGTGGTAGCAGCACTTCTATTTAGGCAACAGTGTGGGAGTCACCTGACTTAATGGCTCATTATAAATTTGCTTGATCCTTTTTAAACTCTTCATTCCACAGGTGTTAACAGCCCTCTTTCCTTTTAAATGGTCTTTAATTCCACTACTCTAGCTATCCTTACTTCCTCAATACTGCTGTCTGCTAGCTGCTCTTAGCAATGTAGCTCCCATTTCACAGCCCTACAGACTGTTTTGTACCCGTAGCTAAAAACATTAGCTCAGGTGTGGACATTTTACTTCAGGTGAACATTGGCTCAGGTGTGGAAATCACTTTCAATGAAGCATTGGAAGCATTGTCCAGATGCTCAAGGTTTGATTTTGTCTTATGAATCTGGAAAAAGAGACATACCTTTAACTATGACTCCAGGACTAACGAAACAGCATCTTTTAATTGTTCTTGCCTAGTTGGTTGTGTTTCTGTAGATTATATGATTTAGCAAATTAATGTACATTCCAGTCCATTTTTTTGCTTCAATTTTAAATTGAATAACAGCTGTATGCCCCTACTTATTAATGACATTTTTAACTGGTGAAAAATGTGCATTATGTGATATGTAGTACTGCACCACACCATCTGCACCCTCGTTTTCAAAATCCTAGATGTGCCCATGGATTACACCCAGTTAGTATATTGTTCTCTCACCTCTTACACAAAATTCACTTTCTGATGCACATATAGAACTCACACTTAAGTATATGAATTCACAGGTATATTTTAGGAGAACCTGACCCTCATTTATTTAAACATTGTTGATAACTAAAGAATGAGAGGGGAAATGTATAATTAAAGGACTTTTAACGAGGACCATATAAATTCATTCTGTTGTCGGAACATATCACCATTCGAAACATTTATGTCTAGGTAAATACATTGAGTTTCCAGTCCAAAGATGAAACAATTGTTGTTCTATCTTTAACTTTAAGCAAGGGGAAGGGGGGAGTATTCCCAATACACTGTTTTAATTTTAAACATAAGATTTTCATTTCATACGAAGAACAGAAATAGAATGTTAAATGATTTTTTTTTTTAGTTGATCTGAATTAATTGTGAACACGTATCAGTTGTACAGCAGCATGAAAAAGGAAGAAATAAAACAGATTTAAAAAATGACTTTAATCATATCTCACAGTGAACAGCAACATACAATATAATGCACAACCCCACTGTAAACCACTGAACAATCAGGTACAAAAAATAAATCTTCATACCTTAAGACACAGTGCCTGCAATAGGTGCATAACACCAATGACTACTTTTTGACACTAAAGTGCATTGAACTAAAAAAAAAAAAAATCACAAGTGTTTTCTGGACTGGACAAAATTGTATAAATGGTTTTTCCACTATAAGTAATGTATTTGTTTTTTGCTATGATACTTTTAAGGAGAAGTAAGAGCCTATTGGGTAGTTTTAAACAGTGGCAGAGGTATCAGGCACTCAGATAATTCATAATGCAAAGTAATGGCTCCCAACTCTGCAGACGTCTTCAGGGGAAAGGCACATAGCCTAAAAGCAAAAATTCAGCAACTTCATCTTCTCCTGTTGCATCATTTCCCTTCACCCTCTTACTAGGACTGTCTGGCCTATAGATACTGAGCTAACTCCATAGGTAGCTGCTAGCTAGGTAAGAAAGGGTCAACTCCTTCACACAGGAACTGGGATAGATAGTAGAGAAATCTTGTGTTCTCTACACCATGCCTCTCAGATGCTGACATGTATACTGGACTTCCCTATGGAGCCTGATGGAGAAGTTCCCTCTTTGTTTTGGTCCCCACAGGTTTTGCAGAGACAGAAAAGAGGAGTCAAAACTTCATGGACCCCTCTTTCATTACCCTGTCTGGCAGATTTCTTTCAGAAACAAGAGTCAAAGCTACTGATGGTGCCACAGATATTAAAATTTCTTCCCTGAATATTCTTTGTTTCTTCCCTGAAAAATTTCTTTGTTTCATCCCCCTTGAAACGATTGCATTTAATATATTAAAAAAAACAACAACAATGGAACTGACAATGGACTTTCATTTTTGTTAAGGCAGTCTGGGGAGATCGGAGGGGAATGTGTGGCCTCTGTGTAATTTAAGCACATGTTCAGCAGAGCAAGCCCAAAGAAAGAAGCTTTTGAAGTGCAGCCAAAAAACAGATGGGCTTTGTAGGTGTGTACAGGAATTGCTTTTTCACCATTTAAAGCACTTTATTGCTGACTTAACAAAAGTGCATGGCTTTACAGCATTTTAAAAATGGGCATAGCACTTTAAATTAACCCTTGTTAAATGAGGTATTAAATTTCAAGCATGGCATTTTACAGCACTTTAGCAACCTACAGTGCTTTAAATAACTTCTGTACACTAGTCAAATTTTTGACCAGCGGAGAAGCCTCAGGAAGCTGTGGAGCACCACCTGCCTCATAGCCTGGAAAGTGCAGGGATGCTCAATCCCTCCCCTCCCCACTACCAAACACTGCACTTCTGTCATGTTTAAGAGCACTGTAAATTTATAGTGCTATAAAAATTACTCTAAATTACAGTGCTGTAAAATGTGCGTAGAGCACTTCTGAACACACCTTATGGAAGGTTGAAGGTTTAAACTTTGGAAACTGGGGGAGGCAGCGGGAGATGGGGGGAGTGGGGAGGGAGGGATGGGTATTTACCTAAACAGGATAAAAAGGGAAAAAAAAGAAAAAAAAAAGTTTTTTTGGGTGCTCCCCCAAGATGCCCTCTACCTCCTTATCTAGCTGCAGCAAATTACTTCCAACCAGTTTGCTGTTGGGGCCACTGTAATTTCTGTAAGCTTTGTTAGAACAAGGCGATAATGCCGCTTACCTTTTAAATGTGTTTCTAAAGCAATTGTCACTGCAGCGATGCTTCAAGCAGCAATTTTGCTACACCACTAGTCCACGAAGAATAGAAAGCAGGCTGTTTTTTAGCTCCTGCACTCAGCCAAGTTTTAAAATCTTTCATTTCTGAAGAAGATGAGTAAAAATTAAAGAGGCCCCAGTTATAACCAGTATCTGTTATACACCAAGGCCATCCAGTACACCAAAATAATGCAAGTTAGAATTAAAATATGCTACAATTTCACATGCACAGCACGGAAATCTATGATAGTGTTTCTGCAGGAGACAAACAAGCTTCCTCTTCTTCCAAGGACACATCCTTCCGTTGGGAAAGATTCATCATAGCCCTTATGACCACCAAAGAGATTCTGACAAGGATACGCAGGGCAAGGAAAGCAAAGGGCACTATGATCTGCATGAGGTGAAAAATTTCTGTGCTGAATTTACTTAACAAGCATGTTAGAAAGAAGGCACCAAGGCTGACACAAGGGTAGAGGGCAAGCTTGGCAAACATAAAGGCATGTTCTTTGCCACCATATCTAGCAAAAGGATGCAACGTTTCTCTTTCATGGAAGAGAGCTGTGATCCAAATTGCAAACTGAAAGATGCTGGCAAAGAAAGTGATAACACAGCTGACCTGAATAGTTTCTATTTCATTGCGAGACTTTTCTGCAAATTCACTGGTCAACTGATAAGCAAGAGGAAGCCCACCAATGAAAGCCAATGATAGTGTGTTAAGCAGTCCCATTAGTTTAGTTGCTTTTGTTATGTGAAGGAAGAGTGAGTGGTGGACAAACCAAAGAAGGCCAATTGTTACAAATGAGCCAAAGTAGGCAAGAAAATTTGGTCCATATTTGCTTAAAGCTTCAATAAGACTACTATGGAATTTGTCTTGAACTTCTCTGGCATCAGGAACATTATCCTCACTGTTGAGAGAAAAATTATTATTTTTGTTTGCATAATAATGGTATAATGTTATAACTCAAAGAACAGGTAATTGTGCAAGGTTCTACTCTGAATGACATGATGGGCTTCTAGGTCGTTCAATGGCATCCAGTTTGGAAGTTAAAAAGTAAGTCTTCTCAATAAAAGCCCCACAAATTCATCTTAGGATCTAAAAGCAAAATGGGATTCTTTTTGGCTCATTTAAAAATAAGGGTATTCTCTCTCCTTCTCTAAATATATGGCTTAATCCATGTGTGTGTGTGTCTGTCTGTCTGTCTGTAAAGCTCTTGGAGCATTGTCTCGGCAGCCAATCACAATGCTTACTGAAACAACCAATCAGAGTGCTCTCCACAGACAGACAGGGGGATGGTGGGGACAGAGTGGGATGGCAGGGTGCTGCCATGATGGCAAGGACAGAGGGGATGGTTTGGGCGTGGGGGGGGGGGGGGCA